AAGGCCAGGATTGAAAAGAAGGACCGAGAGACTTGCACCTGTGACTAGCAACAGGCTGTTTTCTTGTTCCTCCATAGTCATGATTACCCAGGACTCCTCGATGGAGATGATGGTCCGGCCAGAGGGAGAAGGCAGACCATGCCCCAAGCCCTCTCATTCCTGTTGGACTAACTGGTAGCATGGGTCTGAGCTCTGAAGCCTCCACCTCAGAGGGCAGACCGATCTCCAGTGGTCTCCTTTGCATGCATAGCCTAGAATATTTTTAAAGACACTTAAGGATTATACTTTGTAGAAATTGAGTCCCACACCTAAGATTATTATAATGCAAAATAAATAGAAGATTGTCATTTTGTGGTATCAAGCAAATTATTTTCTGAGTTTGATTCTAGTTTATTTTTAAAATTGAACTTTGAAGGTCATTATACAAATAAATTTATTTAAGATAATGTGATAGTACATTCAGTGTTCAGGTTTATATTTTTCATTAGGCTTATTTGATTCTTACAACATCAGAAAAAGCTAATGATTTCTTCTTAAATTTTTTTCCCTTCTGCTGCAGTCGGTGGTAGATGATTGGATAGAAGCATACAAGCATGACCGTGATATAGCACTTCTTGACCTTATCAACTTTTTTATTCAGTGTTCAGGCTGTAAAGGTAAGATGTGTTTATTTTGGAAGTAAAAAGTCTCAAATAGTCATTTCTTTTTGTTTCTCCTAAGGAGATACTAGCACTTTTTAAGGTAAATAATGTCAAAGTAGTGAATTATTTCTATTATATCCATACAAAATATATAAGGAAATAAATGAAGAACAAAGACAGAAAACCTGTTGCCAAAATTGTATTCATGTGTGAAATTTATCTGAAAACTTGACCATTTATAATTGCTGTGTTACTTTTATTAGATATATTTCCCACTTTCAGCATTTGGTTTTAGGAAAAAAGAAATTGAATAAGAAGGAGGAAAATAATAGAGATACTGGTTTAAATAACAGGTAATTGTAAAGTGTAGGGAATTACAAAGTGCCATGAGTAACAGTAAATAATAATGTCGTTCTCTTACTGGTGAATTTGCCAGCTATTCTTCTAAAAGGAGAAATACATGCTTGTTAGTGGGGTCTTGTTTAAAGTATTTTTTACTTAATAAGATTTTGAGGTAGGCGGGGGGAAGTACAAAATACAATAATTTCTTACCTAGGACAATAATATTTAGGACAGGCATTTGGCAGTGAGACAAAATTATGGAAGTTGGGGAGTTTCATGTAGATCAGTAAATGAGTGAGTCAAGATTATTGGCAGGTTTTGGTGTATCATGTGTCTCTTCATATTTATAGCTCATCCTTAAAATTCTAGAAGATGCGCAGGCAAATATATTTTATGGAGTTTTCAAGAGTATTAGGTTTTTTTTTTTTTTTGCCGGGCATGGTGGCACATACCTGTAATTCCAGAACTGGGGAGGCTGAGGCAGGAGGATCATTGTGAGTTTGAGATCAACCTGGGCTACAAAGTGAGCTCAAGGCCAACTTGAACTACATAGTGACCCTGTCTCAAAATGACAAAAAAAAAATAGTATTAGATTTTTAATGAAAAGTGACACTAAAATCTGACCATTAGAAATCAGGAGGGAAGATTTATGAAAATAGAATTATAAAATTGAGATGCTAAAAAATGACTTACACAAAAATGTGAAAAAAGAATTATAAGATGCAGTTTAATTCTTTTCTATTATTAAGTTTATTGCTGCAGTTTAAATATACATAATGATCACATTCATCATAGGGAATTTATACGTATACATGATATAACTCGATTCCTCTTTTTTTCCCATTTTTCAACCCCTCTTCCCCTCCTTATTTACAAACCTTTGTTTTTATCCTTCTTTTTTCTTTTCCCTTCCTTCTTTCTCCCCTCATCCCTCCCTAGTTCCCCTTTCCTTTTGAACAGTTTCTTCCTATTTTACAATATCTGCTGTACATTTTAGCTCTTATTTACACTTTCAGTTTCTCACACCAAAGAGACAGTGAGATAGTTACACATTTGTCTGATTTATTTCACTTAAGAGTATGGTTTCAAGGTGCATCCATTTAGCTATAAGTCTCATTTATCCTTCTTTATAGCTGAGTAGTAGTCCATTATAGAAAAGAAATCTTTTTTATCCACTCATCGATTGATGGGCATTTGGATTGTTTTCAAGATTTACCTATTATAAACTATGCTGCTGTAAATGTGGGTGCGGCATGCATATATCATTGTGGTATGATGCTTTTAATTCTTCTGGGAAGATACCAAGAAGGGGTATAGCTGGAAATCATTGTGGAAGTTCCTGCAGTTTAATTCTTACTAATCCCAAAATCCTTGCAATGGACTGTAAATGAAGTAAGTAGTAATGTAAACAGTATATATATAAGTTATAAGTAGTAAGTTGTATATCCTGCTTTCTAGGACCCTGTAATCTAGTTGGATGTTAAAAATTAAGAGCAAGAAAGAGATGAAATGAACTATTCAAAGTAGTATAAAGTATGAACAAGTTTTGAAGAGCTATATATGATTCTAGATTCAAATGAAAAAGCCTTGAAAAGGTTTTGCGAATTACTTCTTTAGCTAGAGAATAATGGAGCTTTCTTCTAAATTCAAGATAATTTAAACAATTGTTTGTTTTCTTTAAGGTTGTGGTAAGTAAAGACTCTTCTAGAGTACCATTAGTATTTTTTCTTTTTAGAGTACCATTAGTATTGATCTCACTCAGAAGAGGCAGCATGATGTAGGTGAATAATCTTGGACAAATTCTGTAATTTCTACCGTTTCAGTTTGTCAATTGGACTTAAAGTTTTATTGATCCTTCAGGTGGGGCAAAGGAAATATCTTTTTAAAACCTAGACAAACTGAGTGTTTTCTCTTGTAATCTGTCAGGAGACAGACTGAAGAAAAATATACATAATTTCTCTTAGCTTTAGTGTCCTTATCTGTGCTCATAGCTTTACATCTGTGTATATATGTATACAAACACAAATACATGGGTCAAACAAAATGTACTCTGGCTTATTGAAAATCCATACTACATTTAGTTCTTATTATAAATCTTCTGTACCAGTGAATGCATTTTTTTATTATACTTATGGTACTACTAGAGATATTTGTTAAGCTACTACACAGTCCATCAATAAAAGTATGTTCTTTTGAAAATCCAGGATTTTTTCATTTGTATCCCCTCCTTTGTAAAGTTGATGATACCTTGTCAGTGGAAGTTTATGTACATCTTCTTGCCTTATCTCCTAACATAACTTTCCCCTAGAATCCCTTTTCTAATGTTTGATCTTTGCTTGGCTAATTTTACTACTTATAGTGTGCATACCCCCTTTCCATTCTTTAATGACTGTACAAAAAGTTCTCTTTTTCCGTGCAGTAGTTAATTCCCAACATTACAGCCCCTCTTCCAATCTGAGTTTAGTATTTCTTCACATTATTATTCACCGGGGCACTTATTGTGTATATCCTTTAATAGTTTATTTTTGTCTCTTTCTTGTTTAACATCCAACTAGATTATAGACTCCTGTATGGGCAGGACCTAAAAGTTACTTATATGATTTATAGCCCATTGTGAGGATGTTAGGATGTAGTTGCTTTATACACAGTAGTGCTTAATAAAGAAACCTAGCTAAAGTGAATTCTGTTACCCTTTTCTCTGTCTTCATCTTCACATTAATTTTTAAGGGTGTCATGTGTATGTGTGCTAGAGAGAGAGAGAGAGACCGACAGACAGACAGATAGTACTGGGAAAGGAACCAAGGGCCTTGTGCATACCAGACATCATGTATCACTGAACTATATCCCCAGTCCTCCTCCTCAAGATTTTAAATGTTACCCTGGATGCTACCTTACCCTTGATAACATAGTTTATGTTAAAAAGGCAAAGCTAAGTAGGGTCAACCTTCTGCATTCCCCATCTGTGGGTATTTAAAACATATATTAGAAAAAAATTGTGTCTGTACGGAACATGTACAAATTTTTTCATCATTATTCCCAAGCAACACATTATTATAACTATGTAACATTTACAGTTTTTTGGGGGAAATGTGGAGCTGTTCTCTTGTACATGTTGATAGTAGCATTTGTTGGTGCTTTGTTGATACATTTCAGTATTGTCTTAATTTTCTCATTGCCGAGACAAAATATCTGACATTGAAATTTCTTCTGCCAAATTAATTAGTCTGCCACCTTTAATCTCAGTCTCAGGCAAAGTCTGTGGACAAGAGCAAAACGCAGACAAACTTTCTGTTAAGGCATAACATGCATCATCTGAAGTCCAATAGACGGTACAGTCCTTCCCAACAGAAACCTCCGGAGCCTGGTCTTTACTGGCAGCATTTATATCATCATTCTGGTCTTCTGAAGTCTGACCATAATCTCCCATAAAGTACAACTTAAGGCATTCCAGAGCTGCTGCTTCAGCTAGCATCTTCAAACCTTTCCAAACTCTTCACACAAGCCAATTGGAAAGGCTCCTGAGCCACATGGTCAGGAACAGTCACAGCACCAATCCTACTCTTGGTACCAAATTCTGTCTTTGTTACTTTTTTTGTTGCAGAGACTAAATACCTGATACCCAATGTTAAAGGAGGAAAAAGTTTTATTTAGCTTAGTTTGTAGAGGTTTCAGTTCATAGCTGGCTCCAAGGTAGAATGGCATGGCAGAGGGGCATTTTGGAGGATAAACAGTTCATGGCAGGTAGAAGGCAGCAAGCTACAAGCAACAAATGGCAATAGCAGTTTCTTCCTGTCACTTTATATTTTATCTAGACTACTTACCCTTAGGGCAGGTAGCATCAAACCCAGAACAATGCCAAACCGACCAGTGAAGTAATTTAATAATCACAAGCCCTTTATGCCAGCATCACACACTCTAGATCCAGCTACCTATGGAAAGCCCTACCTAGGACCCCATGAAGCTTTGAAGGGATATTTAAATATAAGATATTAGAAGTATCACACTAAAAATGAAATGAGGAAGTATGCTTTTATTGTGTGACTGTACACTTAATGTTATAGGCTGACTTAGAAATTCTTTTTTTTTTTTTTTCATTACACTGTGTGGTAACTTCTGACACTTGTAAATTTCAGGAGTTGTCACAGCAGAAATGTTCAGACATATGCAGAACTCTGAGATAATTCGAAAGATGACTGAAGAATTTGATGAGGTAACTTCTTATCCTGAAGGTTTTCATAATTTTATACATAGTGAACTTGACTCACTCCTTATTTTTTTGATCTCCACTTATTCTTGAAAATGTTTATAAATTTTAAGTACTAATTTGGATGTGAACTTTCCTACCAATCAAATGATCTCTGTGTGACCTTGAGCAAGTTGCCATAAGATTTGTTTCATCATCTGTAGAATGGAGCTAATAGTTTTCTTACACATTTGGGAGAAATGTATGAAAATGGTTTAGCATTTTGTTCATTCCTGGCACATAGCTACAACTCAATAAATGTTAGCCATTTTTTATTGTAATGAATTTAATATCCAAGGAACATTATTTAGAACATCTAGAATACTGGGAAGGGAAGAGTTGGTCATTGTTTTAGAAACCCGGTAGCTTAGCTAAAAGAAATATATATCTCTTTTATTGTTTAGAAACTCCTTTGTGTTTCAGTTATGAATGGTAAAAATAATAATAAAAATGCTAGTTTAGAATTGAACTGAATATCTCAGTGAGTACTTTGAAATACTGTTAGCAATAAGTATGTTTGTAGATTTACTAGACTATGAGCTCCTGCAGGGCAGGGATTTTTTCTTGTTTTGTTCACAGTTGTTTATGCTTGCTTGCCTGCTTTTTTTGGTACCAGAAACTGAACTCTGGACCTTGTGCTTGCGAGGCAGGCACTTGTGCCACTGAGCTATGTCCCCAGCCCAGCTTTCAAACCCTTTTACTGTGAATTTTCAAATAGAAAATCCTGTCTCACTTGTGCTTTATTTGGTCGTTTTTTTTCTTGCTCTCTAATGAAGGAGCTTTCAACTCATTCCAAAAGATACACAAGTTGTTAAAATGGCTTTGATAATCACGAATTGCTATTAATCAGTCTCCAAGTAGTTGAGAAATAATTATGCATAATGGTATTTTTTAACCTTTTAATATTAAATGTTTTAGTGAGAACCTTCTCAAGGGGAAACAAGTATTTAAAATAATCATCCTAAAATATTATTTGAAAATCTCAGCAAAGTTGCTAACAAAAATTAAGGTGATATTTTTCAGCATAGTCACTGAATTTTTCTTATCAGAAAATATGGGGTTCAGTGTGGAAAAGCTCAGTGGATCACATTCATATTCAGCATATGTAAAACCCTGGGTTTGATCCCTAGTAGCCACCAGACAGAACCTTTTTGTGGGATATATAAGGACCTTATTCTCAGATACAGTTCAGCTTACATATGGCATGAATTAAAATTTTAAAAACCCATTTGTGACATAGTTAAAACTTTACTAAACGACTGATAGAATATGCTTAGTGACTTTTGTCAGACCTTGACTTAAAAATTCTGTGTAGTATTCCTCTTTGCTTTTTGAAAGGATGGATTTATTTGATTGATTTATTGGTTGCAGTGCTAGAGATCAAATGTAGGGTCTTGTGCATGCTAAGCCTGCACTCTACTACTGAGATTCATCCTCAGGCCTACACTTTCATAGTTTATCTGGTGGTTTGTCTGTTGACTGTCTGATGTCATGAATATAATGAAAATACACACTGAAACTGCTGATGTTCATATCATTCTATTAGACTAGCTGAGACTATGATTTCATTATGTTGAATCAGTTTAAAGATACTATTTTGGTTTGGTTTTGGTTTACTTTTGTTGTAAAGAAGTTTAATAGTTAATATTTGTCCTTAGAAAAGTTTCACTTCGATGAGGGAAGATTTTAAAAAATTAACTTCAGTTATTGATGTATAATTTCATTGGTTAAAGTGAATTTAGTTTATGTAATTTGTTCTTAAAAGAACAGAAGTGTTCAGAGCTAGCTCTACCTTTGTGTATTCTCTTGCTTGCTTTGTGAATTTATTGAAGAAATGTAAGATACAGTCTATTCATGCTTTTGCTTAAGGTATATAAAAAAAGTGGATTGTTATGCCATGCATTTTAAATGAATTTGCTGTTTAACATTTTTGTTTTAGGATAGTGGAGATTATCCGCTTACGATGGCTGGTCCTCAGTGGAAGAAGTTCAAATCCAGCTTTTGTGAATTCATTGGTGTATTAGTACGGCAATGTCAATATAGTATCATATATGATGAATACATGATGGATACAGTCATTTCACTTCTTACAGGATTATCTGACTCACAAGTCAGAGCATTTCGACACACAAGCACCTTGGCAGGTCAGCATTTTGGAATATTTTCTGTGTGTTGCCTTTGGTTTGTGACGAAACACGTTCTTATTAAAAGAGAAAGGAAATAATAGTGACCTGAGTTGATTTTGTTTTTGAAGTGATCACCAAGAGAGCACTCCCCCCATCCAACCCCTTGTGAATTATCTGGAATGGATTAGTACTTCTCAATTTTGTTTCTTTCCATGTATGCTATAGCTAGTATATAGTGATATTCTTGTGGTAAACTTACTTGATTATTCTGCCACAGCAAGGGAAATTTAGTTCATAGGAATATGTTGGGTCCTTGAAAGATGTTTTATCAAGGAAGATATCTACAGCGAATTTGAGTAGATTGTCACAGTAAATTTGGATATGTGATCTTGATGATGTTTTGTTTATCTCATAAGTACACACACACACATACACGCTCACACACACAGATGGGCCTTTATGTTTCTGGGTAACTTTAGATTAGGTCAAATTCTGTAATGTTTAAATTTTAGTGAAAAGAGTTTTATACCTCACATGGTTAATTCTAGAACAGTCATTCTTGACTTCACATGCATACAATTTTTGCTTATCCTTTGTGGTACAGGTAAAATTACTCATATGTTGTTATGGAATATGTGCTCCTTGAATTTGAATAAATAAAATAGGCTTTGTTTTTAAAATACTCTACACTTTAGTGGTAATTTAGATTTCTAGTTTCAAAACTTTCCTCTCTTGGATTTTTTTTTTTCTTTAGACCATTTTTGCAAAGAATTAGAGATGTTATTAAAGATATACCATGCTGGGCGTGGAGGCGCAGGCCTTTAAATCCCAGCAGTCAGGAGGCTGAGGCAGGAAGATTGCTGCGAGTTCTAGGCCAGCCTGTGGTACATAGTGAACTCAAGGTGAGCCTGAACTACACAGCAAGACCCTGTCTCAAATAAACAAAAGATATACCTCTCAGTCTTTTAATTTTTCAAAAAATAAGATTGTTTTCCCCCATGTTCTCTTTGTTTTAGATTTGAAGTCACAAAATATGGGTGTACTCTTGCCTTGTATTAGGTAACGTTCAATGTAATGTAATAGAAAGCAGTCAAATTCCATTTGGTTACTGAGATAGCTAAATGACTTCCACATGAAGTGAAATTTACTTAGAAGTTGAATCATAATCTCAGAAAAAGATCATTGTAGGATATATAATATAGAAAAGTGGGATTTAAGCTTAGTCTGGTATCAGATTACGTTGTTTTAAATCCTTTTTTTAACTCGGGTAGGTTTATTTTTAAAATTTTATTGGTACATTTTTTATACACAATGATCATTTTATACACAATGATCATCATATGGTATTTGTTCTTGTGCATAATATATCTTGATTCTTCTTTTGTCCCCAAAGCTCTCCCCTTTCTTCAGCCCCTCTTGTCCTTACTTATAGAAGCTTTGTTTCTATTTTTTCCTTCTAATTTTTTTTAAATTTTCCCTTCCTCCCCCTGCCTTGTTCCCCTTGTATTTCCTTCCCACTTTCCAGTTGCTGTTATACATTTTGTTCCTCATTTATACTTTCAGTTTCTCACACCAGAGAGACAGTGTGATATTTAAACATTTGCCGGATTTGTTTCACTTGAGTATGGCCTCAAGGTGCATCCATGTAGCTATAAATGTCTCAAGTTTATCTTTCTTTATGTCTAAGTAGTATGCCATTGAATTTTAAAAAGCCCATCTTTTTTATTCATCTGTTGATGGGCATCTGGGCTTTTTCCAGGACTGAGCTACTATAAATTTTGTTGCTATAAACATGGGTATGTATGTTTCACTGTGGTATGATGCTTTGAACTCTTTCGGTAAGATACCTAGAAAGGGAATTGGCTGTGTGAAGTAGAATGTGTACTTTTAGTTTTTTGAGGAATTTCCATACTGATTTCCACAGTGGTCGCACCAGTCTACACTCCCACCAGCAGTGGGGAATGGTTCCTTTTTCCCTACAGACCCGTTAGCAATTGTTATTGGTTGATTTCTTGATAATAGCCATTGTCTCTGGAGTGAGGTGGAATCGCAGTGTTGCTTTAATTTGCATCTCTCTCTCTCTCTCCTGTTTTTTTTTTTTTTTTGAGACAGGGTCTCACTGTGCAGTTCAGACTGGTCTTGAACTCATTTTTTAGCCCATGCTGGCCTGGAACTTCCAACGATCCTCCTGCCTCAGCCTGCCAAGTGCTGGGATTACAGGCGTGCACCACCACGCCCGGCAAATTTGCATCTGTTGAATAACCAGTGATGTTGAACATTTTGAATCCTGGTTTAACTACTACTATGAACTCTGTAATGTGTGGCAAATTCCTTAATCTCCTCCAGTTTGTTTCTGTAACTCATCTTTGAGCCCTGTCATAAGGATTAAGATATAATCCATGAAAAATAAATATCACAGGCAGCATACTGACATATATCTAAGTATTCGATACAGTATTAAGTGTTGCTTTATTATTGTTGTCATTTGTAGCAGCTGTATTTTCTTAGAAGCTCAGCAGTCCATATCTGCTTAATTTCTTTTAATTTGATCTTAAATTGTAAATTTTTGCATCTGTTAGTCTAATTTCAACATTTTACCCTTTTAAAAATAGCTATGAAGTTAATGACAGCTTTGGTGAATGTGGCACTAAATCTTAGCATTAATATGGATAATACACAAAGACAGTATGAGGCAGAACGGAATAAAATGATTGGAAAACGAGCCAATGAGAGACTAGAACTCTTGCTACAAAAACGGAAAGAGGTAAATTTTTCTTTTGAATATTTAGGCTATTAATGTGTGACCAACTTGGCTACCATTAATTATAACTTCTTATCCCCACAGAGATTTTTTTCTTTTTGGTACCAGGAATCAAACTCAGGACCTTGTGCTTGCCAGGCAAGTGCTGTATCACTGAGCTATATCCCTGGCCCCACAGATAATTTTTTAAAGATTTAATTTTGGGGGGGAGTGGTGGAGATTGAACCTAGCACCTTGTATGTGCTAAGCATATGCTTTATCACTGTGCTATGCTACCCCAGCCCCATGAAAGATTTAATTTTAAACCATATATTTCACATTGTTTATGCTTCTGAGTTAAAGTTTGACTATCCATGCCAATAATACCTTGCATATTTTTTATCATGTATGGACTAATATTAAGAATATTACACTTTTAAGAAAGGAGACCTGGATCAGCTTGGAAAATTGTACAAGCTTTACTAGCATTCCTGTTTACTATGACAGTCTCTCTGCTATTTTCATAGTAGTCTTATTCCTAACTAGCTTCTTGTCAGCCTGAGATGAGGTTCATAATTATGTGAAATACTTAGAGAAATAGCTAACAAGCTATTTGTTAGCATCTGAGTATTTTTGTACAACAGGAAGTATTTTGTTAATGTTACTTACTACTTTCAGATTTGAATGAGGAAAATATTTTTTAGCTCAATGCTGAGTAGTAACTAAAATATTTTGATGCTCCCTTTGAAATTTAAATTGGGCTGGGCATGTTGGTGCACCCCTGTAACTCCAGCACACAGGAAGCTGAGGCAGGAGGATCTCTGAGTTTGAGGCCAGTCTCGGCTGCAAAATGAGTTCAAGGCCAACCTGAAGTGCATACTGAAACCCTGTCTGAAAAAGATAAAAAAAGATTAAATTGTTCCTTCATTGTTGATGTAATAGTTGTCTGTTGCATTTATGAGATGTTTATTTTTATTTCTTAAAGGGAAAGTGATGTGTTAAAAATATTAGTAATGCAGTCCTTTAAATAGTAGCCATGAGTTGTCAAGTTGGTCTTGAAATTTTGGAGGCGATAGGAGCTATAATTTTTATTTTTATTCTTTCAGTTTTTTGAGACATTCTCACTATGTAGTTCAGGCTGGTCCTGAACTCACTATATAGCCCAGGCTGACCTTGAAATTGCAGCAGTTTTCCCGCCCCAGTTTCCCAAGTGCTGGGATTATAGTTCTGCTCACCACGCCTGTCCAGGAGCTATAATTTTAAGTTGGTTGTTTCTGAAATATTTAATAACTTTGAAATTCTCTGATTGAAGAAAATTAAGAAAAGTCTGCATTTCCCTAATGTCTAAAGTCCTCATCTTTTTCAGATAATTAAAAATGAAAAAGTGATACTTTTTCCCGTAATTTACTTAATAAATTTCATTGGTTGGTTTATTAGATGAATGTGAAGTATGTCTTAGCCCTTGAAATTATGGCCTTATTCAGGGACAGAAATTTGATTGTTAGCATAGAATGAGTGAATAACATTAAAGGACTTTGAAATTAAACTGTTTTGTTGTTGTTGCATTGCTGGCCATGGAAGTGAATATAAGAAACACAGACCCAAGCCAGGGACAGTGGCACAAGCCAGTAATCCTTGGGAGCCTGAGGGAGGAGGGTTGCAAGTTCCAGGCCAGCCTGGCCAATTGAAGTGAGATCCTGTCAAAATGAAAATACAAAATCCTGGGTTTATAAAGAAAATCAAGAAAGCTTATGCCTGTGTTACCATTACTTAGAAATAAAAGTCATATTGATGCCGAGAAAAAAAAATTTTTTTACAGAAACATGTAACATAAAAAAGAACATTTATCCTTAGATTGTAAAGAATCAGTCTTTTCTGAACTCCAAATTGAAAATATATGAATTGATATGTTGACCAAAATTTGAAATATTTACTTATTTACTTATTTCAATTCAGTCTTTGCTCAAAAGAATTAACTAGTAATTCAGATTTTTTATGTAGTTGGAGCTAGTTGACATGGCTTCTTTTTCAAGCTGCTAAGATCAAAAGAGTGAAAAATAGGGATTTTTGGATATAGAGATATATATATATATACATATATATGTATATGTATTATATAATAAATGTCATATACTAATAAACAACATAACAGATTTTTCTACCAGCTCCTTTATGCAGTAGAAATTTGTGAACATTAGAAAAAACATTAGCTTACCAGCCAGATTTCTTCAGTCAAACATTAGAAGCCAGCCTGGGATATAGCTCAGCGGCACAGCACCTGCCTGGCAAGCGTGAGGTCCTGTGTTCAATTCTTGGTACAAAAAAAAACTAGAAGCCAAGTCAAATATTTCCGGAATCAAGGGACACTAACTTCATCACATAGGACTTTTAATTTTTCTCTGTGGTTCTTTAGTAGAAGAAAAGCTAAATATGATCACCAAAATACTGCAGAAGAAACCTAAAATTTTTTAATACTTACAATAACTTTTAGATGTATTTTGTCTTTCCTTATAATTGTCATCCTTTTACAAGTGTATTCTTCTTTATAGCTTCAGGAAAATCAAGATGAAATAGAAAATATGATGAATGCAATATTTAAAGGCGTGTTTGTACATAGATACAGGTAAGTCAAGATACATTTCATAAGTAGTACTATGTAGTTTTTATTCTTCACATTTGGATATTAGTGATGTAAGCAGTATGAATTAGTAGAAAAGGTATAGTAAAGTAAGATTAGTGTTACAATCTAAGCTGTACCAGTGAATCACTCTGGTCTAGTCATTTAACTGCTGTGAACTTGATGTTTCCTATGAGTACAGTGGGGTAAAGCTGTGCTTTGCTTATAGTTTCACGGCCAATGGAAGATACTGCTACAGTATTATTAGGCGTTAGGGTGCAAAATAACTTAGTTGTCTTTGGATGTACTTTTTGGTAGCAGTTGCATATCTTGACTCCTGATTTTCTTCTCTCCATTTGAATATCATTGGGAAATTTGGATAGATTAAGGTGATATATTTTTGTTATGCTATTTTGAAGGAGCAGAGGAAAGAAATAGATAAGTCTTATACTTTCTGACTATAATCTATTAAATGTTAATATTTTATTCATTTGTCCCTCATTTCTCCAGCTGGGCAGTTATTGAATCAGTTTAAAACTTGGCTTATAAGGTCCCTGTTTTCACTCTTACCTTTTCATTTCTGTTTTTACTATTACCTTAATCTGTTCCCTTATCACACTTGCGTTAAGAGATTACAGGAGTTTTCCTAAAACACTCTTTTGCTGTGCTTAGCTTCTGCCTTCAGTGATTGACCAGTACCTACAGTAGGAATTAAAATCATTAGTCTGAGCCAGATACAGTGACATGCACCTTTAGTGTTAACTCCTCTAGAGCCTGAAGCAGGAGAGTACTTGAGTCAAGACATTGAGACCAACCTGGGCAACATATTGAGACCTGCCTTTAAACAAATAACAGACTAAAATGATTTTGTCTCACATTAAAATCTCAATTGGGCTTGGTCTCAATGTTATGTGTAAGTCTTGCCTGGACAGTTATAGTGTAGGGTGCTAGTATCTTCTGAAAACGCCAATCCCAGCAGGTATGAGCAAAGGTTGGGATATGGTGTGGTATAAAAGGTGAGGGTGGCATTTTATGTGTAGTTGTATTTAATTTTAAATGTTTATGAGTTGATAATTGTGCTTTCCCAACTACACTGTAAACTGTTGGCATTTGGAGTCATGTTTCAGTGCTACCTTTTAATCCTCAGTAATCTTAACAGTGGTTATGTACTTAGAGGAAATATTTGGCATCTCTTGAGTAAACCATAAGCTTATGGTATAATGACACTGATATATATGTTTTTTTTTTCTTCCTCTGTGTAGGGATGCAATAGCTGAAATCCGAGCTATATGCATTGAGGAGATTGGCATTTGGATGAAAATGTATAGTGATGCCTTTCTTAATGACAGTTATTTAAAGTATGTTGGTTGGACTATGCATGATAAGGTAAGATGTGCCCTACCAACTGCTTCTCTGTCTACACTTTACGCATGGTTATCTGCAGTTCTTATTCATAAATGAGTTGTCAACTTGTTTGTGTACCATGGGCCCCGTCCCTGTAAGCTTCTGTCTTATTCTTTTCTGTCTTCTGTGTGAAAACTTGGTTTCTGGCATGTAAAGTTCTCTAGGTGTTTTGAATTCTGGCCACTGATTTAATCTTCACTGTTGAAGTTTTGCACTGAAATACTGGTTCATGTAGGTACTGATAGTGAGACATCTTGTAGAACACTAAAAGGAGCCCTTACTTTACTCTCTTATTATCTGAGTGTTGTGTATTTTTTAAAAAAAAAAAATTCCTCAATTTTTTTCTTGTGCTACTGGGTATAGAATTCAGGGGCTCCTATATACTAGGTCAGCGAGGATGTACCACTGAGGTAGATTGCCAACCCTTCTTCAATTTTTAACCTCTCTTGGTGAACATATATCTTAGATTATACCTTGCAGTGTGGTCTGTCACCTTTTAATCTTTTTCTTAAAGTGCCTCTTCATTAACTTTGAAGAAGTTCTTTTTATGTATTCCTTCCAAGCATTACTTAATGTGAAATATGCTATCATCTTTCACAGTAGTTTTGCTCTAAACATACTTTCTTTTTTTTTTTTTTTTTT